GCAATACATTTATTGGCAGTGATGATTTATTATTTTCTTCTTTCTTTGGTAGAATGAAGAGCTGAGTATCTTATATCCTGCTGCCATTGTGACTATTGATGGATTTAGCCTTTTTCAGTCTCTTCGTGCTTGTCGAAATCAGGTAGCAAAAGGTAATTTTTGGCAAGAAATAGCTAACTTGTGGTGATGTTTGTCTAATTTCATGTAACCTATTTAACCTATGAGTTGCCAGAGGCGAGTGTGACCAGCACAGGAACAACGGGCTTGTTCACGGATTCAGCAAAATGTGCATCTCTAATAGACACGCTTTTCTACCAAGTCAGAATTCAGTTGAATTTTTATAGCTATTTCATAGTTTTTGAAATTTTGAAATTTAGCCCATTATAAACTGATTATCTTGGGGACACTTAAAGTAGTCACTATAGCCCGGCTGGCGTGGCTCAATTTTCAAGTGTCGATCTGTGAATCAGGTCACAGTTCGATTCCCAGTCAGGGCACATGTCCAGGTTGCAGGCTTGATCCCCAGTAGGGGGCGTGCAGGAGATATCTGATCAATGATTCTCTCATCATTGATGCTCTACCCCTCTCTCCCTCTACCTTCCCCTCTCTGAAATCAATAAAAACATAAAATGTTATTACATTTTTTGTGATTTTTAAAAAATATAAAACTTCACTGTACTCATTTAGTGAAGTTGGTTTGTCTAATTTTTGTCTTTGACAGCTGCAGCTTCAGGCAATGAGAACATACAGCCACCACCGTTAGCTTATAAGAAATGGGGTCTGCAAGATGTTGACACTATCGTTGATCACGCTAGTATTGGTAAGCATTACTAGCTCAGTTCTTTTGAAATTTACTTTCTATTCCTTTTGATTGCAGGATCTCATTGATTCGAACTGTAGATTTATTCTTACGTGAAAAGAAAATGCATTGCTTTCAGTGAGGCACGTGGAAGTTAGTTCAGACTTTCACTATTTGATTTGATTTTTCTGCAGACAAGTTTAATCATATAATTTCCCTATAGATTAGTGTTTTTAAAATGTAACCTTTAAGCCAGCAGAATATAGAGAAAAGCAGATTTCTCCTTGAACCAGTATTTGACGGCTCACCGTGGTAGGCCTCGGGAAGACATGGTCGCTGCTGCCAGGAAGTGTGAGTGTCATGGGAAGAAACCCGTGGAATAGGTCCAGGACCACAACCGAATGGTTGTTGGAGTGGACAGTGGGCTTCTGCATTGGAAGCAGGGAGAGGCCCGGCACTGAGGGAGTGCGGAAGAAGGGTGGACTTTAATCTGGGACGGGAAGAAGAAGGACTTGGCCAAGAGAACAGACACAGAGAAGGCATTCTTGCCATGCAGGCATGAGGGTGGAAGCACATCGTCTTCTGGAAAAACACTGGATGCCCAGGAGAACTGGCAAGAGCAAGGCCAAGTATAGAAACAGGAGTCAGGTTTTGAAGGGCCCGGTGTGCTATGCAGGAGGCACTGAGAGCTTTCCCACAGCCACACTGGGAGCCACTGAGGAACTGTGAGCAGGAGCACGACACTATCTCAGCCTGTTAGGAAAACCACTTGGTGGAAGTTCAGAGGTCGCGATGTAAGGGTCAAGACTAGGAAAAGAGTACAGTTGGGAAGTGTAATAATCTTGAGAAGAAGTATAGGGCTCCCGAGTTAAGGTAGTAGAAACGGGTGGAGATGAAGAAAATGCTATTTTAATAATTTTTTCTATTTATCAATGTAATATTTGCTTGTTAAAAATGTAAATAGTACATAAATAGGTAAAGAGAAAAGGAAAACAATATCCCCTTACATTCTATCATCTAAAGATACTTATCATTGGCATTTTTGTAAACATTCGTTCAGAATTGTATGTGTGCCATTATGTATGGTTATGTAGACAGGCTTTCAAAACTAGGATTATTCATACCAACTATTATAGCCCTTTTCTTATCAACATATTATAAAGAGGCTTTCACATCAATTTTACCAAATATACGTTTTTATCAGTGTCCTAATAGAAGACAGGTGACATCTTAAAATAGCATCATTGAGACGGGGTTATTTGCAGAGAAACTATAAAGTGTGAGACCCACCCATTCGGGATAGGGTCTCAGGGCTGGTTAACAGCACAGCAGTTACCCACGCCTAAGAGATGAGGGCCCAGAGCAGCGCCAGGACTTGGGGGTGAGGAATGGGCTCAGCACCTGAGAGCAGGCTCTGTCTCCGGTGCAGGCAGGGGAGCTGGAGAGAGGTGGACAGAGTTGAGATGTTCTTTGCCCCTGCGAAGGGATGGGCTTTTGTTCAGTGGTCATGGGAAGTAGGTATCCTGACCTCATTCTCCTTTCTCTCATTGACCTGCTCATGGGGCTTCCCAGCTGTCTGACCCCAACTGCAAGTCCTCAGGATTGGCACACTGGCCCCGGGAGTGAGCAGGGAGAAAGGGCAGGAGTGTGAATCTAGAGGCCCAACAGTAGATGTTGGACAGATGGTCTGTTTACTGTTGCATAGGATTGTGTGGAATCCTCTGTGTTAACACCTTACTGGTAGACATTCCGTTTGTCTTAACTCTTGTGCTGAAATAAAATTGCAACAAGACTCCAAAGTGTTGAGTTCAGTTCAGGGTAGCATCCCTGTGCTGTTAATTAAACTTTGGAACATTGAAACAGGCTAGGATAAATGAATGGGTAGAAAAATCTGCTCTATTCACTTATCTCCCAGCCTACAAAATGAAGGAAAAAAAGTGCAGCGGACTTTATGCAAAGGTTTGATTAGTTCATTCAGCAAATAAATGAACAAGTGCCTGTTGTGTCCCAGCAGCTAATATTGGTGCTAGAAATACAAGGCAGATGGATGAAGTGTACATTCTGGTGATAAGGAGACAAACAGTATGATAACAGCAGAGTGTTAGATGCATCAGGAATAAATCATCAGAGTTGTGATAAAGGAAGAGGGTACTCCAGGGGGGCCTGTGAGGAAAGACCTGTCCAGGGAAGTGGCGTTCAGACTGAGACATGAGGGTGAGGAGGAGCCAGCTCTGGGCAGAGGCGCCGGGAGAACATTCTCGGCAGAGGGAGCAGCGAAGATAAGATGTAATGGTTCATAGCTTAGAGGACTTACAGGTGCACTTTTAACCTTACAAGTACATTATGATAATTACTTTTGTAGCTTTTAAAAATGACTTCTATCTGTTAAATTGTGCGGTTAATGTCCTAGAGTGGAATTGAAGTAAACATTCAATGGCCTACACTGACAGGTCCTTTCAGTGCGCTCAGGTCATGGCTTGTTGTCGCTTGATCACTAGGTATTATGACGCTGTCCCCTTTCGATCAAATGAAGACTGCCTCCAATATCGGTGGATTTAACGCAGCCATTAAGAACAGCCCACCTGCCATGTCTCAGTACATCACTGTAGGGTCCAATCCGTTCACTGGCTTCTTCTATGCTCTAGAGGTAAGAGGTTCCTCCCTGATCATGGGTAAGGCCGCAGACTGAGTTTTCACCCTGTCTAAAAATGGCTATGGTACCCTAGCTTTACAAAGGTCGAGCAGTTTACGTTGCTAAGTTTCAGTCTAAGCTCATATGAATCTCCGCTTGCTTTCTTCTAAATTCTTTAAATTAACTGAAAGGTACTGAAGTCAGTGTAAACAACTGAACTTTGTTTCTGATGGCCCGAGTTCGTGGTGGGTGCGGTGGTCAGAAGCTCGGGGTGTGGACCAGCCCCCACGGGTTTGCATCTGTGAGGATTGTCAGGACAGAACTGGCTGCCAGCTGTCGTTATCCACATGGTGAAAATGGCTCCTTAAAACAGGAGACAGTTAGATTTGGCAGCTCTTACTTCTCGCTTGAAAAGCAGCCTTCTCAGAATTGCCTACCTACCTTTTTACTTTAGTAAAATATATATATATTTTTAGAAAGACTCTCCTAAAGTACATACCCTTGACCGGAATCGAACCTGGGACTCTTCAGTCCGCAGGCCGACGCTCTACCCTCTGAGCCAAAGCACTCAGGGTTAAAATATATATTTTTTTAAAGAGGGCAAAGAGCAAGTTGTGTATGATTGGGAAATCCACAGCCCCGATATAGTAATGCCATTTTAATATCCTAGTTTAAAAGTTTCAATTAAGTTACAACTAAAAGAGGGAACTCCTAAAGATAAAACGCCAGTGGCTTTGACGTTGACACTTTGATGACATTGCTACCTCCTGGAATAAAGTGACTATACTCCCCTCAAGGAGCTGCATAGGTTCTTGCTATCCAGACTTTACAGCTTTTTCAGACTTTATAACGCAGGCCTCGTTTAGAAAGGCTTAGAAAGCTACCCTGTCCCTTTGTCAGCGGGCACGTGTTCTGTCTTCCAGGGAAGCACACAGCCGTTGCTCTCTCACGTTGCCCTCGCCGTTGCCAGCAAACTCACTTCTGCTCTGTTTAATGCCGCCAGGTAATCGCATAACAATTACATTAAGCCGTCTCTACTTTGTCTAGCCCGGTTTGGGCTTCTGATGTGAGAGTCTGCACTTGGACGCTCTGCGAGCCCCGGTTTTATTCTCACGCTCTCTTTGCAGTGGTTGGCTCGGTTGGAAGAGTAGGCACGAGGAAGAAGCTGTCCAAAAGCAAAAGCCAAAGATGGAGCCAGCCACCCCGTTAGCTGTCAGGCAAGTCGGCCATGCTCTTCTCAAACTGGGGTGGTTTGGGGAACGTTCTGTGGGATTTGGGGTCTTTCAATGAGCTTAGCGGATTCGTTAATCTCATGAGTCTTTGGAGCCTCTAAAAGTCACTGGTTATGGGATGACTGTTCCAGAAGAATGTAAACTCCACGAGGGCAGCGGTTCTTGCCTGTTTCATTCACTGCTGTCTCCCTGTGACATCACAGGGGCTCAGTGTGTGTGTGTGTGTGTGTGTGTGTGTGTGTTGTTGTTGTTTTACAGACACCTGTAAACCTAGCTTCTAAGTCGCAGGAGCATTAACTCTGTGATAGCTGATGAATTTCTTTTTAAAAATAGTTTGGTTTGTCAGTAAGCTATAAAAATAAAAAATAAAAATACTTAGTAATTTCTTTAAAAAAAAAATGAAATGAAAACAGGAGCCCCCTGCATTCAGACCCTCTTCAGAATGCTGGCTTTGCCTCTTTGCTTACCTCCATCCTTAGTGCTGTCAGGTTTGGAGAGGAGAAGAGGTGGTTTTTGCTAGATTTTGTTTTACAATTATTTTTTGTTACCTAATATAAAGTACCACCATGAAGGGAAGTAGAAACACTCCCTTCCCCCTTTTAGATATTCTTCACCTAAAAAGATATAACTAATTATGTTACCAAAACTTATTGAAGTTTACCTCCTAAGGTTTTTTCATCTTATTTTAAAATATGCCACATTTTTAAATTCATCCAGGAATCAGGAAATAAACCAAATGGCCCGATGCGTCCTGAACAGATGTAGCGAATTTGAGCCCTTTGTCTTAGGGACTGTCATCAAAGTGAGCTCTCCTGGTCCTTTCTCAGTACCCTTTACTCTTACTGTACTTACAACTCTAGTGCGATTGATTGGTTACAGACCAGGAGCAGCTTAGAGAGAAATATTTAGAAGGGAAGTTCTCCCTTCAAGCTAATTAACATGGGTATCAGCAAGATGTGATACCTAGCAAAGAGAAAACAGGTTAGGAATAAGAACTTAAAACAGACGGCAAATGCCTGTGTAGGAGCCAAGTTTTCTAACATTTCGCTGGTTGTGAGGGTATTGTTTTCTATGACACTTAATCAAGGAGAGATGGTTATGATGCACTTGATGTTCCCTGAAAAATAAGGTTGTGGGTATTTACATAGAAAACCTATAAAATAAATAGATGTTTTCATTTTATAATGGAGGAAACTTCTTATAGTGCAAACTGTCATATGTAGGTAATTAATTATTAATCCATGCAAGGTTCGTATTTCTCTATGTAAAAGTAGATTCAGCCTATGTCATTTACACATTTCATGATTGTGGTGTATATCTCTAGATTGGAATGTGATTTGAGCTTTTTATTTTCTTTTACATTTCAGGTTTGGGCTTCCAGATTCTAGACGCCATGGTGAGAGCATTTGTCTATCTCCCTGTAACTCTCTGGCAGCCGTAACAGATGATTTTGGCAGAGTTATTCTATTGGATGTAACCAGAGGAATCGCAATACGCATGTGGAAAGGTATGTCCTTACAAACATCCAGGAAAAAAGCTTCATTTGTTTTTTACCCCAATAGTTGAGCAACATGATCATTCTTTAGCTTCTGGTTGATCTGTCTAATCCTTTATGCTTCTTTTTTTTTTTTTTTAACATGAACTGGAATTGGCAACACTTGATCCAGAAATCCAGTTGATATGTCTTTAAGTCTGATGAGCTCATAGGCCCGTCTAACCTCTTTTTTATGTACTTTTCAATTCTCTCTGTCATTGTCAATTCCTAAACTCAGTTTTTTTGCCCCCGGCTACATTTATTCCACTTCACAAGGCCATGTTTGAGTCAGATGCTCTCCCCAAAGC